TCTGTCATTTCGAGTAGCTGTTGTCTGTTAACACTTGCAGGCGTTTCCCCGTGTTGTCCCCGGTTTCATTTCGGAATGGCGGTGCGCTCCTCCAGCCAGTAGGTGAGCAGTAGTGCCGGGTGGGCCCAGTGCTGCTGTTTTTCTGTGATAAATAGATGACTGTGTGCATAAAGCCGTTCCCCAATGTCAGGTTGTTTCCTTAGGCTAGATTCCCAGACGTGGGATTATGGAATTAAGGAGTATAAAACTTTTGAAGCTCTTATTACATATCAAAAAAAAAAAAAAAAAATGGTTTCTAGAAATGTTTGTATCAGTCTCCACCAGCAAAGATGAATGTGCCCACCTCACCATGTTACTAGTACTCGGTCTTATCATCTGGCTAAAGATTGGCTAATTCGATTAGGAAGAATGGTATTCGTGCTTCAGTTTGCATTTCTTTGATTTCTAGCAAAGTTGAACACCTTTTCCTGTTAAGCAGTTGTATTTCCTGTTTTGTGGGTCGTCCCTGTCCATTACGCCTGTCTACTGGGGTCTGATACATTTGTACAAGCTCGTTATATATTAAAAGACATTAACTTGTTGTGTGTTGTGTTCACTGCCAACGTTTCCAGCTTTTTAACGTTTTTTGTGTGTTAACTTACTGAAGTTTTGATCTATCTGTAGTTGGTCGTTCCCTAACTTAGCACTGTGCCCCCAGAAGTTAGCAGCGATAAGGAGGACAGGGCTGTTTTGTTTGTCTTGTTCCCAGCTCCGTCATTAGCACCTGTAACAGTGCCCGGTACATAGGAGGCGCTCAAGAAACACTTGGCAGATCAGTTGCACGAACAGATGTGCTCGTGCTGAGGATACGTGGGTGGGTGAGGTCCTGCTCTGGGGCTTGGGGCCTAAGAGCAGATGGCAGACATTTCACTCTCAGGATCCCTTTGCTCTCCTACAAATAATATTCAGAGCTCCAGAAAGATTTTGCTTATGTAGCTTATATCTATCAATATTTACCACATCAGAAATTATAATGGAGAACTCTTTAAAATGTTAATTTGGTGAAAATAAAAATAAACCCATTACAGATCCACATACCACATTTTTATGAAAACTACATTTACTAAAAATAGAGTAAAAAGAGTAGCGTTGTTTCACATTCTTGCAAATAATCTCTAATGTCTGGCTGACGGGAAGACAGCTGTAGACTCCCATCTACCTCGGCACTGAGTCTTTTGCAATGTCACACGTCATGTGGCCCCTGGAAGATTCCACTGTACACTCGTGAGAGAGGGAGTGAAAAAGACAAGTCATGTTTTAGCGTTCTTATGAAAACCATTGCCACCTGACGGCCCTCCAGAAAGGCCTCGCCCACTGCAGTCCCTGGGCTCGGGGCTGTTTCCCAGCCTCTCCCCCACCCGGGCTTCCATTG